CTTTACCCCAGAAATGGCTCATGAATTTTTTGTCCTTATGGATTTGCTAGTTCTGGTCATTTCATATAAAAAGAATTGTACAACATTCTGTTTTGTGTATGGTTTCTTTCATTTGGCATGTTTTCAAGATTCATTCATATTGTGTTATATATCAGAACTTCATTTCTTTTTATGGCCAAATAATATTCCATTGTACAGACACAGTATTGTTTTTTTCTATTCATCAGTTGATACACATTTGGGTTAGTTCCAGTTTTTGGCTGCTATGAATAATGCTGCATTGGACAGTTGTGGACAAGTTTTTATGGACATGCATTTTGTGCAGTTCTTTCCCAAAGATCTGTTTGACATTCCCACTAGCAATATATGAGTTTTCCAATTTCTCTACATTTTTGACAACACTTGTTACTATCTGTCTTTTTCATTATAGCCATCCTAGTAATTATAAAGTGGCATACTGTGGTTTGGACTACTTTCCCTACTTTGGCTTTTTTTTATTTTGTCTTTTTCTTTTTTATCAGCACCGGGGATCGAACTCACGTCCGCCTGCTTGCAAGGCAGGTGCTTATGCTGCTGGGCTAAATCCCCAGCCCCTACTTTCCCTACTAATGACACTTAGCATCTTTTCATATGCTTTGGGCTATTTGTGTCTTTTTTGGGGGGAGAAATGTCTATAAACTATAGCATGTTTTTAAAAGAATTTAATATCGTAGCTCTTCTCAATACTTTTTGTAAAAACAAACCTCTCGGGTTGAAAGCTCAGATATCAGTTACACAGTTGAGTCACTATGTTTTCTCCAGGGTGGAAATGGTTGCACAAAGAAAAATAAGCCTATGTGATCTTTCTAAGAGATTTTTATTTGTAGTTTCAACATAACACATAGAACATAGAAGATTATTTTTGTTCTGATTGCACTGAGGGAACATCCTTAACCTGTTCAATATTCTCTGGACCATTCACACACTCTGCAAAAGGGAAAATAACAAGATCTGACACCTTCATCATGTATGTGCATGTGTGTGAGTCACAAAGACACACTGCTTGAAACTCAGCCTGAAAGTCTCTCCAACCTACTCCATTTCCAAGGTAACCAAAATAACCAGACAAAGCAAAAGCTCTTGCAGAGAAGACTAAATCCTACCTTCTCCTTGCCTGACACTCCCTTCTCTTGCCTGGGCTGAAGAATCATGAGAAGATCGAAGAGATCTGACAGATGCTTAGATTAGTATGAAAGTATATTTTTATATTATCAAAGTTACTAGCACAAGCCTCCCTAAAATTACAAAAGTTTTCATTTTTAAAAAATTTGGCAATTATAACAATGCAGGAATGTCAACTGAAAATACATCATCCTGACAAGTGAGTAGATGCTTTCACTTGAACTTTTCTCATCATCTTACTTTAAAAAGTGAATAACTATTAAAGTACCATGGTTTGTTATCATTATATCTATATAAAATATACCAATAAAATTAATTTTAAAAATAAATGAAGTAAGTATTGTGATTCTACCTGAACAGTAAAGACAGCTTTATGCGAGCCCTTGTGCAGAATACAAGGAAGAAACAAGGCCACCTGCATTTTGCACTGAGAGTCAAGAGCCGCACCTTCCTCCTCAGCCGCTCTGAGCTTTTGGGTAACGGTAGAGAGGGACACAACTAAACCCCAGCTCCCAGAGATCCCATGGGCTCCTTGAAGTGCTTGAAGAAACACTTACAGTCAAGTAATTTAGCTACCTTATTCCCAAACTTTAACTCTTAAGTATAAAAAATGGACATGCAGGGCACACTACTGGTTTAGTATCCTGTAGGAGAAGCACCTGGCTTCCTATTCATCACTGTCCCTCTGCTCCGAAAACTTTCAAGTGGATGAGGCATCACTGAAATCCTCTCAGGCTACAAGAGGAAGAGAAAAGGTTGCCTCGGGAGAGCTGCCCAGCTTGTGAGAGAACTCTTAGCCCTCGCTGTCTCCTGATCTGAGACTTGAATGAACAACAGATGTTCTGCTATCTCTTCCAGGCCATGAAGAAATGTACAGATGCAGACAACCATTTCCCTAAAGGAAACCTGCTGGACAACAAAGCAGAGTTCAGGTGTCCTGGAATTTCAATCCTTGACTTCCCTCTCTGCTGTCTCCCCATGCTGTTAATTTTAGATTCATCACTCAATCTGCAATCTCCTTACATGGGATTAACTCCAAATAGGGTCAATGTTAGATTGTTTACTAAAACTGTCTCCCTTTTTGTTAGTGTCTTAAACTTGTGGCCAAACAGTTTTTCCAGATCTTAAACAAAACTAGAGCAAATAAATAATGACTAGGAGTAAGATACTTTCCCTTAAAGCCCATGGAATGGCAGACTGAAGAAGGAATCTGGAAAGTAGTAAATATAACTAAATGTAGCCCACACTGTTCATCTGGACCTACAGTCCAGAGAAGCAGGAACTTCTTTCAACCTGAGGCCAGGCAGGTTGGTGTTTTCATGTTACGGGTATAAATTCAACACCTACATGTACTCTTTATTATGACTAAAACAATAATGGCACACATAGTGTCTACACTTATCCGAGGCAGGCACTGCCCTAAACATTTTCTATGTAATCTCAATTAATCAAGACAACACTTCTACAGAGTAGGAACTATTATTATTCCCAGGCTGAGGAAAATCAGGTTTAGAGAGATTAACTTGCCCAATTATCTCTTGCATTCAAAGCAGTATGGGTAACGCTTTTCCCATTACCTCTCCATAATCTGTCCACCGTGGTAAACTCTAATCTCACACAGTTACTAAGCACCTGAAAAGTGGCTAAGCAATAGAAGGGAGTTTTTGTTTGTCTGTTTGTATTTTACATTACTGGAGATTAAACACAGAACCCTCACACTAGCTATATCCTCAGTATTCTTTTTGTTTTTTATTTTGAGACAAGTTCTCACTAAGTCGCTAATTTGCCCAGGTTAGGGTCAAATCTGCAGTCTTCCTCCCTTGGTCTCTCAAGAATTCTGGAATTATTAACAAGGACTGCTTCAGCAGGCTTGAATGTTTAAAAATTAATTTCAATAGTCATGCATAGCTAATTCCTATACTACTGGACAGTATAGTTCTAAGGTACGAGGACCAAATGTAAATAGGACTTACGATCGTATTCGTAAGTCTTAATGTGAGAGATAATTTTAACTACAGGAGACTCACAGTGATTAAGTATGCAAAGAGCCTGTTTGATATAACAGCCTCTAAGATAGGTCCCATTTGGGTTTGAGATCCAGTTCTACCAGAAACTGGTCATGTGATTTGGTCCATGACTTAATCTCCAAATTCCTCAACTATATGAAGGTTTAAATGTACCTTTACCGTGGTGTTATTGTGAGAATTTAATGAAATAAAAATATGAGAGTTCTTATTGAGACTGCTTAACTATACTAAGTACTAAATAAATGTGTTTCTTAACATAACGACAGGATAATTAGCAATTGCAAACACTGATACAATACTTTAATCTACAGACTCAATTCTAACTTCATCCACTGAACACACAATGTCTTTTATGGCAACTTCTCCACCCCTACTCAGTAAGATCCAGTATGGTGCCACATGTGTCTTTTTTAGTCTTGCCTAATCTTTAATTGCCTTTTATAAGGTAATTAATGAGTTTTTGGAGAAGACGGACCAGTTATTTCATAAAATTTCACACGATTTGGTTTTATCCAGTTTTTCCTCATGATTAGATTCAGGTCATATGTATTTATAACAAGAATAATATTTAACTGGTTGTATTCTTTCTTATTTACCAGAACACACTGCCTAATCACAACATACTGGTGGCATTGTTCTGATCACTTGGTTAAAGAATTTCTGGGTGTCGCCACTGTACACAGTTATCTTTCTTCCATAATTGATAAGTAATTTGTGGAAAGGACATTTGGGGTCTATTCAAATATATTATTCATCTAACTCCCTCCAGTTCTACTAGATTTAGCATCTTTTGATGACTTTGGCCTGATTTTACTGTTATGGACCCAAAATGATGATTTTCTAACTCTATCCTTCTTCTATATGTAATAATTAAATTTCTACTATACAGAGGAGCTTCCCCTTCTTCCCTCTTTTATATATCTACTTTTTAACTGTTGGCTATGGATTCTTGCATTACTCAGTGGGTTCCTTTGAGCTTTGAAAAGTACTCTTTAAATGTAGGAGATAAGAAATTACAGATTTGGATTAAAGCCTTTATTACTTAGGCAAAATTTATTCCTTAGGCAAGAGGCAGCTGTTAACTGAGGACACCACTCATCTTAGATGCTTCTCAGAAAGAGAAATTTAACAGCCAAAGGCACTGCAGTTAGGACTCACTCAATAGACAACATGAGTTATCACTCCCAAGTTTCACTGTTGCTCATCATCAGACATGATATCATATACCAAAAATTCCAGCCAAACAGCCCATCTATTTCTCCACAACTAGCAAACTTGAAATGTTCTGGCAAACTCAAAAGGACATGATTTACAAATAGTAGGTAATATTTGGATCTTTCTACAAGAGCGGGATTCCAGCTTTTTAAATAAAATACAAATGATTTCATTTTGGAGCTTGCTATGTCACATTCTCAACAAACAGCTCCTCATATCAGAAATTAGGCATGTGTTATATACAAATATACTAGGTTCATGCATATTTATTTTGTGGCTAGAGACCACACACCCAGTGGCTACTTATAGCATTCATAATGCTCCTGGTACTACAAGGAGGGTCTCAGAGCTAAAACCAAAGCTCAGGCCACACAGTCTGACTCCAGATCTGCAATGTGTACACACAAGACATGGGTCATGTTTGCTTCCTATAGCTGCTTATGTATGTCATCTAGATACCAGCAAGTATACAACTCCAAATGTAACACTCTTTGGACTCTTACTATTTCAGTGAAAAGAAGGCTTTTCAAAGGTTTTAGAGTCACTACAACTTTGTACCAACAATCAGTTTGGAAAAGTGTTTTTAAAAAATCTTACCAAGAAGAGTCTGGGGACCCCAGTGGCAAGTCTCTCTGTCTTCAAATGCCAGACCAAGGGCTGTGGGGAGTTGAGCAGGAACACAACAGGCTTGTGGTGAATGTGGACTGAGGAGATGGGATTCAGGTGCAGTGTGACCTAAGAAGCAACAGAATGAGGGGAGAACTTAGCACTGATTTTCCACACAAGTCACTCACAGCAGTGTCTGGATATTTTTTCACTATTCACCACTAATAGGAGCAGCTCCAAATCTAAAAATAAGTATATCAGATTGAACTAGATGATATTGCTGATATTGCATCTTTTATTTTTTATTGCAACTATTTCAAATGGTTCAGCAATACTAATACCAACTAAAATATGACTCAGCTCCCCAATGTAGAATACAGATAAATAAAACACTTATTAAATGCAAAAGTGGCAAAGACAGAATAAAAGTTACCTTCCCCCAGTACTGCCTAATCTTTCAAGTCAAATTACTTAACTGAAAATTAAAGAGCAGAGTCCCCTGAGGGTAGGGTATGCCTATGGACTTCAGAGAAATGATTTTCTTCTCTCTCAGGTAAGCTCCAGCCTCTATAAGTTGAATTCTGCCAAAGAAAAGTACAAAAAAGCAAAGAGAAAGGATCTGCCAGGGGAAGCTGCCAGTGCTGTCATCATCTGAGCTACTAAAGAGAAGGAATTTTCCAAAATGAAGCACGAGGAACGTACAGTGCCACCATAAACAAACAAACAAACAAAAATCCAAATAGAAGAAAACTGTGTCTGGAGAAGAACACTGTGCTCAGATTTAACAGACGATCAAAGACTATTGTAGGTTACCATTATCACATTCTTTCACTAAAAAGGGAGTCAGAGAAAATGGACTCAACAATATTCTCTTGAAGCACATGATCCAGTGAGTCAATGTGAACCCAGGAAAGCAAAAGATGAGCAAAGGAATACTGACTAGCTGGTTTCATTCAATGTGTCTCAACAACTAGCTTTCTTTTCAGAGATAAGGCAAGACCTTGGAAACCACATAGTTAAGCAGATGCATGGATGCGCCAAAGATCACCATAAAGAAATAAGAGCAATAAAGGACCCACTCTCTAAAAAAAGCTTAGTCTGTAAAGATAGACTGAGAGATACATAGGGAACAGTGGAACATCACTGTTAAATTCTGAAGGTCTGGCTTTATGATCTGACTGTACACAATCAGAGACACACACTCAGTGCTATTTCACAGCCTCTGTGACTGCTGGACGACTTCAACTCAAGAGATCTCTATCTCTTTTTTAGGGACTGCCTATGATCAGCAGCATTTGGTATGCTCATGTCCTTAATAAATAATGCACCAATCTTCCAAAACCCATGCTTTAGGATATGGTAAGCATTCCCTAAAGCATTCCTTAAATTCCCTAAACTCACTATTTTTCAATATCATAAAAGTACTTATTCTAGGATTAATTTGTACTTAGTGCATCATAGAGTCTCGTTTGTTAACTATTGAGTGAGAATGTCTTAATTGCCAAAACAGACTGTAGGCAAAGATGTCTTACATCATGGGTGAACAACATTTTGATTTCCCTGGGTCACAGTAAGCAACGTTGTCTTGGGTGACATATAAAATATATATAACGTATAAATAATCTATATTATATAGTATAATTTATAGTAATAAAAATCTTAATATTTTTATTATATCAAAATGAAATAACACAATGAACCAATGTTTAACAATTAAATAAGAAAACACATGTGTCTGATTAATAACAACATATCTACGTGCCCAGGAAGAGAGAAACCAGTTTGCCCTTCCTGTGAGCCAATCAGCACATAGGCTAAGAATCAAGAAGGCCACCCCTTACCCTCCTTAAGCAACCAGCTGGTTTGGAGGACAGGCTGAGTTGATAACAACTGAGGTACAAAAACAACTAAATGCTTGCATTGTTTGACTGACTTTGCAGGCCTAAGGTCAATAGTCAGAGCATCTACTAGGAGGATGACAGTATGCAATACAGCAAATATGGGGGATTTCCTTCTGTCTTGTTTTGGAATCCAATATTGTTTTCACTGTTTTGTTTTGCTCTGATTTACTGTTTTGTGTTATTTTATGTTCTTTTTTGATTGTTTTTTTCTGTTTTGTTTTATTTGATTTTACACTATCTGATGGTATGGACAACTATTGTGAAGATAACAAAAGATATTATGGTAGCCATGGTTGATTTCTAATTATCCTGTTTTGAAGTTCTATTCCACTTTCACTGCTTTGTTTTGATTGGCTTTATTCTGTTTTATTTTGTTAGGTTTTATTCTCTTTTCAAAAAAAAGACACCTGTCTTCACAGGCACATGCATCTGTAGGAAGATTGAACCATTATTATCAGTAATTGTGTCTTTTACTTGCCAAGTCATACAAGTACGTGTAACTCTGATATGAGCAGCTTTCAATTTAACTGTGTGTGGCGGGGATGGGAGGTGAAGTTAGCATTGCACTGTGTCTTTCCCTATCCAGCGTTCCTTTGGCTCCTAGAGAATTCATGCTCAAGAATCACAAAACTGAGTCAAGAAAAACACTGCTCCTAATCTCATAATAATAATAAAAGCTTAAGCTCTCGTGGAACTATATTACTAGCTGTCCAAGTCTATGGGTTGGACTTGCCTGCTTTACATTTTTAAAATATCACATCAAATTCATAAATTTATGTTTCCTAAAAAGTTTTTTTAAAAAAGGTTCAAGATAATGCTCAAAAATGACTTAACTAGCTAATCTGCAGAAAAAAATACAAAAACATAGTCAAACTGTCATGAGCTATTTGTGAACACAGTTTGGATCAGTCTTATAGTGGACATAAACATAATGTCAAATGCAATACCAAATGAACTATGATGTCAAATATAACTACAATAAAATAATCTGTATCTTGGTTGTAGACTCTCATGATACACTGGAGATGTGATTTGTACCCAGAAATAAATGGACTGATAATCACTGAAAACGAGAGAGGCAGTAGAAACAGAGCAGAGGCAAAGATAGAAACTGAAGTGTTAACTGCATACTATGAAGAGCACACATCACAGAGAGTGAAGAAAAAAGAAAACCATCACTTGTGCAAGACTACCCAATATCTGCAAAACAACTCTCTGACTCACAAACAGCATGTGCCAGTAAAAGGTTTCCTTATTCATTCCAAAACTGTTCACTGGACAGCAACATAGCACAAAGAATAGCACTGTGTATCTGCAGGTGTGTATCTATAATATGTGTTTGTACTGCATTTTTTTTCTGATGATTTTCTTTTTGGTTCCTAGGTATATGATTCTTAAAGCTCTTAGATGCACAAAAGTCTTATTCAAAACCTGTGCTACAAAATAAATAAGTACATACCTCAAACAAACAAACATTTTTTTAAAAGGCTTATTAAATAAGAAGATATATGAAACAGATATTGGCTTTTTGGGTCCAAAATTTCCCAGATGGTCCAGAGTGTCAAGGCCTGGCTCAGACAACCAAGGAAAGATTTCTAGGAGTTGCAGCTCTTTGAGCTTTCCTGGAAACGGCTCCCTCTTCAATATGTGGCAGTGTCTAGCCAAGATGAATCTCCTGACTCTGGCACACGGGTCCCAGGCAAAGCCCCAAAAGCCATTTGGCAAAGAACAATTCACACTACAATTGGGAAATTAAAAGAAAAATAACGTAATCCTTTTTCAGAAAGATCATTTGGCAGGGACAAAGAGTCCTACGAACACAGTCTCACCTAATCCCTCAACAATCTTCCTCCTCTATACAGCACTTTCTCCACTTAAACATATCTTGCCAAAGGGAAGACAGAGAAACAACCAACAAAAGAATGAATGCATAAAAGCTCCCAAGAATGTGAAAAGAACATACTTGGAATATCTCAATGGCAAGGTACCTAACTTATTGTAAGCTGAAAAAAAAAATGAAAAGGAAATGCTCCTCAGGAACAATAATTACACCTCAGGAACAGATGACAGTTAGAACCATAAGACGATCTTGCTGAGGTTTTTCCAAGGTTGGACTGTCCAGAGATTATAATCTAAAGGCGAGAGCTGAAGCAGATTGCACCAAAGGAATACCACATGGAGTAATGATAATGGTATTCGCCAATTTCTAATTTAGAAATTCAAACAGTAGTCTAAAGAGTTGGCCTTCAACCCTTCATCACATTTATTTATAAAAATACATTTAACAGCTTAGCCTGGAGCCTTCAAAAACCCATGGAACTGAAGATGGGGTGGCACAAACCATGAAGGGGCTGTGTCCCATAGGAAGGGACAATAACTAGTCTCTAAATTAATGGCTTCTTTTGTGAATCTTTGGAAGTCACAAAGCATTTGAGAATGTAGTATAATATGAATCTTCTCTTCATATATACTCATACACAAAAAACCCACATTACATAAAATTTTATAAACAGTTTCAAGAAATACATCCACTGCAGGTCCCATGAACTCCAGGTTAAGCACCCATTAACTCAGGTTAACCAATCAATTGTAAAGGGATGGAAAGTTCTAGTGGTAGAAATAGAAACAAAATGGCCCCATTTAATTAAACTAGAAAGCATACTCCGGTCTTAAGATCTCATCTTTCTGGGTAAAGTATTTAACAGATGAGAACTCAGAACTAAAACACTTTCACATGTAGTTTCTGGGGTTTCTGTGGCCTGCTCAAACCCATAATTTGACCACATACTGGTCCATGAAGCCCAGCCCAAGAGTTCCTGCTCTAATCATGTTTGTCTCAAACAATGCTGAATGTTCAGTCTTCCCGAGGGTGTGAGAAAGTGCAAGTTGCACACTCACATGTAGCCACTGTCCCTCACACTCCACTGACCCCTTCCCCTAAAAGGAATGTAAACTGGCTCAATCAGTTCTATAACATCTGTTTATACTAGGTTTTCTCTCAGAAAATGAGTTTTCTCTCATTACCTGTACACTTCAACTAACTTACTAGCTGTAAATTTATAAAGAAATTCAAGCAAATCTTTTCTGACTGTTTTTCTGGATACAACTGAATACAACTTTATCCAGAGTCAAGGGCGCGCTAAGGAGCAGAGGCCTTGGGAAGCACGTTCTTTCTCTTATTATCATCATCAGAAAATAACCAGAACAACATTCTCTGGACCTTTTTAT